CTGATACCGACCTACACAAGGGAAATTTCTCCCTCCCAACTCCAGCACTGTCCTAGGACTCCTTAAAAGTGTCAGCACGACCCACCCAGGGGGTTCTGCGGCCGGTCCTTCCCGCCTCGGCTCGGAGGGAAGTCTGCCCTCCGTACTTGGCAGCGTTTAACCCTTTGCTTTCGCTCTAATCTAAGTGGTGCAACTTCCACGCCACCGTTCTCGGGTTTCGAACCAACTACAAAAGGGAAAACAACTCGTTCCCCAGGATTTCCGAGCAGCAGTAGAGCAGCTCTGCTTGGCCCCAGGACGAATGAGGCACTGGCCAATGCCCCCTCCCCTGTACTGGGCAAAGGCTTCCCCAAACACCCTTTTCTTTTACCCACTCAGGGCTGGGAACCTCCTCCCCTCGCCCCAATCCATTAATTCACCACTTCCGAACAAGCTGCTCTTAACACAAAAGGCTTCTTCACACAGCAGAGGTGTAAGCAAGGTTATGAAGATGGAAATTATAATATAAACTCTATGGAATTTATGATCGTAGAATCACAGAACTGTCTGGGTTGGAAGTGATCTCAAAAATCATCTAGTTCCAAGCCCTTTGTCATAGGCAGAGACACTTTCCACTAGACCAGGCTGCACAAAACCCCATCCAAAGCCCAGCCTTGCAACACTTGCAGGGATAGGGCATCCACGAGTTCTCCGGGCAATTTGTTCCTGTGCCTCACCACCCTCACAGTAAAGGATTTTTTCCCAATACCTAATCTAAACCTACTCTCAGTTTGAAGGTATTACCCCAATTCAAGCACAGCAAACTAAAACTTAAGATTTTTTACCACCTCACCAGTGAGGTCCCAGGCCCACAGTAACACTCCACCTAAGCCAACCCATTTAATGCATAAAATGCAGGAGTAACTCCACTTGCATTTAGGTTCCAAACATCCGAGGGCTGCCCTCACGTTTCATACACGTATAAACATCTATACACTTACATATAGCTAAATAAATCGCTACGGTGCAACTAGCTACAGAAATATCGCCAGGCAGACAGATGTGCTATTTCCAGCTAGCTCAGCTAAGGCAAAGAGCAGAATAAACGGGGCTATTTTCTGCTTTCCAACAGGTTGGCGCAGTCCCCTTCGCACCGCTGCTGGCAAGCCGAGTCCCCAGGCAGGCGAGCGACCTTCGGCATCATCGGCGGGTGTATGAGCCAGACAAAGAGATAACGTCATGGCCTCCCGGCTGGCTCCGTGTCCTCCCCGCAGTGGCAGGTAGCCAGCCAATCCCGCTCCCGGGTGACATCATCGCCGATGCCCGGACACCCATGTGCAACTACATCAAACTACATCTCCGAGCTCCCCAAAAGCGACCCACAGCCCACCCCACACACAGTCCCTCGGGAGGACAGACGGCTCAGAAGCGAAATAAAACCATCCGGGAAGAGGGATTTCAAGAAGTGGTTGCTGGGTAGGAGGAAAGCGGAAGGCAACAAGCAAACGCAGCGTAAACACGTTTTTCCCTCGATTATGCAGTTCCTACGAAAGCCCTCAAAACAGTCTCATCTTTGGGTGCCCCGGAGCATTTTTCCTAGCAAGAAAAGTTAAATACTACTGCAACAACTTCTTTTTTTAATTCTTTTTTTTTCTACATAACTTCATTAGTTTAAAAAGAAAGATGCTTACCGCAGCAAGGAAGTTTTTTGGTTTGCTATTATTTGTTTACATATAGCCCTGTTAAGTGTCCACATCAGCAGTGTATATACACCAATGCCTAAAAGCAGTGCCAACCCAAACTTAAACATCTCTCAATCCATTACTGTCTAGCAGGCTCTGTAGCAAGAAAGGAGACTGCCTGTTGCTCCCCATTGTCACAGTGACAGCCATGCCCTTACACATCAGGTGTTCGTTCAACTCTTCCAAGACAATAAATGCACGTGGCTCAGTTTCCTTTCCAATGCTAACTATCCTGAGCTCTACCTTACTTAAAGAAAATGAAATTTAAAATTTCTATTGTCAAGACTGTTAAACTAAGGAGAACTTTGCTCATTAACTCAAAAGCATTAACAAGTACGCTAAGAAACAATGCACTAAATAGCAATATTTAACAGGAGAGTTTCAAGTCACACATTCACACCCTAATATTATTTTTTTTTTTTAATAAAGGCTCAGATGATGCAAGTTCTGGTAGCAAATGATTACAGAAAAAAAATGGTGTCCTTTCAAATGGCAGAAAAAATTCAAATGGTCAAGGTTGTGTCAAAGTGCAGCTTTTTACTTATCTTCCCTATCTCCTGTGGCCTTCTGAGCCACATTCTTTTTTCCAACTTTATACCAACAGCAGCAGCCTAGCTATTCCAGCTCAAGGCTTAAAAAGCAACTAATACACTGTGCAGGCAGACTAATTCTCCATCAGGAAGGCTGAGGTTCACGCCCTCAAAACAAACTGACATGTGTTTCATCTGCAGAAGAGGCACCAAAGTGCTTTATTTAGTTACTGGAGCTGCAAGCAGCAGTATCTTGCCATCAGGGAAACTCACCAATTACACTCCCTTGTTTATAAGCATTAAGAAAAAAAAACCAACAGCAACAACAAAAAAGCAACCGAAAAACCAAACAAGCAGCTAAGCATCTTCATCTCTCTCCTCTCTCCAAATGCATCTTGCATTTCTACAGTTTAAGGCTAGAGCCTTCAATCTTTAGCCTAGTATTAAGTCTGTGCGAATAATTAGTCATCCTGGTAGCTAGCACTCGCTGCAAAGTCATGCAAGCTCAAGATCTGTTTGTTCCACTGACTGCACACTAAAGGGAAAAAAAAGAAAAAAAGAAAAAAGTAGGCTAGTTTCACACCCACATGGGCACTCTCTGATTTCTATTTTTTAAAGTCATACACTTGTCAAACAGGTTATTCTGGGAATTCTGATTTTCACAAAAAAAGCTTCTCTGCTTCGGTCACTTATTATTGTCACTCTGCACCCCTCATCTCTGCACCGCCCATCAGATGCACTCGCCCCCAACTCCACAGCTTCAACACTCTGAAGGTTTTCCAACAAGAAAACCGGGTGACAATTTTAATTAAGGCCAATGTCTTTGTCTAAAGTCACTGCAGCAGCAGCAACTTCCATAAGGATTTCCAGCAGCAAAGCTGAATAAGCCTGTGGACGTGTTTGTATAACCCAGCCAGACTCTGACAGCGTCCACTTGGTTTGGTCATTTCTCTGGAAGGACCACAGAGAAGAATTAGGACAATGAAGGCGTATTTCATCATTACAGGATGGGTACTTGGGAGAGTAATTTGTACCCATCCGAAAAAGCAGAAGTAGAGGCTGACAAACTTGACAAGGCCAGCAACAATGACAAGGGCAACACTTCTACCACCCCTCACTGTTCCGGCCGCCAGTGCGGGTGGCTCGCCTTCAGCCGTGTGCTCAGGCACCGGGCACCCTCTGGAAAATCGGCAACAATAAAAGGAGAAGAAATTCTGACACAAACCTTGTAGACTTGCCCGTACGTGCCATTGCCAACCACTTCCACCAGTTCAAAAATCCCAGCGGGGTCCTAGGGGGAGGAAGGGGCAGAGGGGGAGGGGGAGGAAAGGGGAGAAGAGAAGCGGGGTTACATTTTTGTTCAGGCGATGGCTGCTGGCATAGCCCAGCCAGCGAACCCGGCTGCTGGCGGCGTGCAGCTGTTGCGCCCTGTTTTTCCACGCACATGCCAATACATGCAAACAAAG